AAGAAACAGCGAGCGTGGAGCTAGGCAGGATGGAGGTTTCTTATAAACTCTCGAAAAACTTCTCATGTCTCTGAACGCGTCTCTGCATGCAGTGGTTGCTTCAGAAAGCTTTTAACTCAGCAATGAAAGATTTTCACAGAAATGTCAACATGTAAAAAGGAAATTCATCTAATTGAATTTCCCTGTTCAAAACTCCATTTATTTAACAGCAACGAAACACTGAATTTTCTCTGCTCCAAAACTATCTATGAGAATGACCTGAAATGACACATACAAATAACTTGACCACGTGGCCAACATATAGTTTTTGAAGCTCTTCTGCAGTTCTTTTAATAATTTAAATCTGGCAGTGTTTTAAGCAACAGAAAACAGAATCTTATAATAGCAAGTATGAGTTAATCTCAGGTGCAAGTGTTGCTACCTAAACTATAATTAAGACACCAGTTCCTTGTGATGGTAGAAAGCTGTTCCTTTCTTTAGCATCTGTATGAGCTTCCAAATACAAGGAGTACAAATTAGAGCCTTGTTTCCCCACTACCTTACACTTTGCACAGTCACTTAAACACGCATAAAGAGAGCACTAATGGGTGCAATTTCCCATTCACTTTGCACAGGTATAAGGGATTCCACCAGCAGGAGCACTGAAGGATCGCACCCACTGTGCTGATTAAATCAGCTAAGTGCAGGGTACGTTCCCCCTGGCTGTGCTTCCTGGCACGACTAATTCCTTCTATTGGACCTTTGGGACTTAGGCCAGGACTACGCACAGATGGTTCCTCAAATCAGGAACTCACTTTCCCTGCTGCCTAATGGAGCCTGAATCCTGGGATTCAAATTACTGTGTCACGCATGTGAACGGTAGGAGGAGGTTCCCAGTTCCCAAAGTTCTCATAGACTACTTGGAGTCTGTGTAAGTTGTTGTGTGTCACAGGACTGGTAGAAATTAAACCTTTTGTAAGGGCTTACTAAGTTCACAAGCACTGGATACTGATGGTATTCGTCTCCTTTTGAAAATATCTCCTACTCTAGAAGTGACTTAAGGCCCATGCACTTGCTGTGTGCAGCAGGGACTATTGCCACCAAGAGAAATCTTCACCTTTGCATTCGCAGCAGTGATGTGAAGATGGCACAAGTCAGGACCCTGCCCTGCAGCTCGTCATCTTCCAAACACCATTGGCAGGAATATGCACTTAGTAGAAACTTGGTATTAGTACTTATGATTGAGGATAAACACAACCTGGAGAGCATTTTCTCAAGGGACTGCATTCCGTTTAAATGTGTCACTGCAGAAACCTATTAACTGGTTATTGTATCAAAGAAGACTATGTCTGTCTATCTATATACACAAACATGGATGAACACAGAGGAACGGGAGAAATACATATATTCATACAGAGACAGAGAGAAAGACGAGGTCTAAATATATTAAGGTTGACTTCTAATGCTCTTCAGTGTAATAAGATTATTTTTTCCAGGGAATTTTTTTAAATTTCTTTAAAAAATTGAAAATTATCTAGGTATTATTTTGTAGACAGATGGAATAGTTACATGCACCTTAGAATGGGCAGGACTATGAGGTCCCTGGTGAAAGACGAAGTAATCCAAAATCTTCTAATTAGGGAGCCAAATGTTAAGTACTTAAGTATGTTGTCTTACAAAGACACTGCCAGGTTGCATTATCGTTCGTTTCTAGAAAAATCCAAGCGTATATTAGCCCTCCAAACAGCAGTCTGCAGCCTGAGCAGCTTTCTTGCTGCAGTAGACAATATTGGATAAACAAGAGCCAGAGCTCTTTGATGAAGGAAGAATGAAAAGATTATCAATTTGCCAAGCGAGGGCTAATGAATGACACCGTGCTCAGGATCAAGTCGGGCCATTTTTTTTTCCTAAAATAACGTCTTAGTTTGACAGCTTCACGCAGGCATCACACCAGGAGTGAAAAATCACCTCGGGCACAGAGATAATCTGAAAATAACAGAGACTGTTTAAGCTGGTCCCAGCTGAAGAGAAGTCCAGGAATAGAGTCAGGAAACCCAAATACGGATAAAAACAGGGCTGGGGCAAAGTTCCACCACAAAAGGTGTGATTAAAGCAAAGCACTGTCAGATCCATCTTCCACAGAGGACTTAGTGCATTTTACGGTTCGGATGTACGTGTTAAGACGACTGACATTAGGTCCTAATATTTTTTATGCACACATCCATTAGGAAAGAAAGTCTTGGCATAAAGGAATAACTTCTGTGCAATAACATTTGTGAGGGTTGAACAAAATCTACAACAATTACTTCACTTTTAACAGTTTTTTGGAACCAGTTAGCAGAGATACGGTATTTCTAGACATGATTGGTTAAGAAGTCCAGTATTAAAAAAACCAACAAAACAATTAAACAAACAACAAAACAGCTACTCCTAAAGAGTCCATACCAGTCGTAGCTTCAGAAAAAGAAGCAATAACAGAAAGAAAACATCTAATTTTTTAACATTTCCATTCTGCGCTAATCTTTTGTACCTTTTTCTGTCCCTGTCTATGTTCAGGTTTGCATTTCACCTCTTTCTTCTGCTATTTTTTGGTGTCATTAAAGCAACATAATAACATTGAGCATGAAAACAACCTTAAAACTGTTTGTATGGAAGTAATATCACAGAATCCCAGAACGTTAGGGATTGGAAGGGACCTCAAAAGCTCATCCAGTCCAATCCCCCTGCCGGAGCAGGAACACCCAGATGAGGTTACACAGGAAGGCGTCCAGGCGGGTTTTGAATGTCTGCAGAGAAGGAGACTCCACAACCTCTCTGGGCAGCCTGGGCCAGGGCTCTGTCACCCTCACTGAGAAGAAGTTTCTTCTCCAATTGAAGTGGAACCTCCTGTGTTCCAGTTTGTGTCCGTTACCCCTTGTCCTATCATTGTTTGTCACCGAGAAGAGCCTGGCTCCATCCTCGTGACACTCACCCTTTAAATATTTATAAACATAAATGAGGTCTGATATAGCTACTGCTTGAAGTGATTTCTACCATAGTATAGCAGGGGAAAAAAAACAAACAACCCCACTTTTGAAATACTAATGCTAATAACAGCACATATGAAGGTGAATTATTAAAAAAGTTAATTCCCAAAATTGACAAAATAATCACTTCTCAGGAAGTTCATACACGATCCAGGGAGATGAAGAATGAGTCATTCTGTAATTTTATGACTTCAGTTTTACAGCATTCCTGATCAGTGGTGGCTTTTTGGTTTGGAGGGGTTTTTTAGGTATATGAAGGACATACACATTAATGCAAAATTATCTGTGAATTAAGGGGATAATCAGACGGCACTTATTAAAATTGGTTGCTTATATCCAGCTGCATCTCCTTGTAAACCACACATATATTTTTTCCAAAGTTTTTGGTTTAATTATAACATAATATAATTAAATTAAAACAAGTTAATCCCTGGGATATGGACATTCACATTGAAAAAAAATAATATAACAAAGAAGCACCAGCTACAAAATGATCTCTGAAGTTTCTTCTGTGCCCAGGTTCAAAGGGATTATTCTGGGGGAAATTAAAATTTTAATTATGCCTGAAAACAGAGAAGTCGATGTTAACTGAAGGTATGGATCTAAGCAGAATACACATTAGCCACAAAGTCTCTTTGATAAAACTGTCTCACTCTAAATTTGCAAATCCTATTCTGCTTCCGTTTCAGACTTCTCCGGGCCGCGTTTCACTGCATTGCAATGAAGTCTTTTGTAGCCTGGGGTTCTGTAGCTCTTTTGCTATCGAGATTTCCCAGGAGCGCCGTAATCTGAAGCAGAGATGAGAAGTAGGGTTTTTTAGTTTAGGAAAAAATACACCAAAACCCGAAGCTTCACTGTATTCCTGAATCCAGATGGATTTTACTTAATAGTTTGAGAGGGGAAAAAGCAGGAGGAAGAATCACAGAAGAGTTGAATGGGAAGGATGTGTTTTGCACATCAGAGCAACAAAAAGCCTGGCTTTTTTGGGCACTCAGGAGATGTGGGTTCAAACCCTTTTAGAGGAGATAATACAACAGAAGATCGGCAGGCAAATAAAAAATTAATTATTGACACAGCCTAGCCCTGAAAAATAGTTGAGAAGGTGAATAATTTAGAAAGCCCATCTAAAAGCATGCATTATTTGAGAGCAGAGCTGAGCGCACGCTCACAGGGCCAGCGTGGGGACGGGAGGTTGGCCCTCACCTCAGTTGCTGCAAGCGGACAACACCGGGCATTGGCGAGGGATGAGGATTGACTCGGGCAGAAAGAAGAGGTTGCCTCTGAAATCTTAAACTCCAAATGACCTACGTGAACCTGCAAGGCTGTTTACTTTCCCAGTGTGGAGAATCCACCAGCTCTTGAGCTATACCAGTGTAGAAGAAGAGTACACGTGTGTTTGCTGACAGTTTATCTGGTGAAGCAGTTTATTATATACAGATTATCACAGAATATGAGGAGTTGGAAAGGACCTTGAAAGCTCATCCAGTTCAACCCCTGCCAGAGCAGGATCACCAGACCAGGTCACACCCCAGACATGGAAGAGCAAAACCCGAGCTATTATACAGAAATTCCATATTGGGTTTTTAACACGTTAACCTATCTCAGTACGCTTTTCTTTTACAGGAGACTACGTAGTCATGTCCGTTTACTTTAACCTGAGCAGGAGGATGGGGTATTTCACCATTCAGACCTACATTCCCTGCACACTCATCGTTGTGCTGTCCTGGGTGTCTTTCTGGATTAACAAGGATGCAGTTCCTGCCAGAACATCGCTGGGTGAGTTCTTTGCCTTCCTGCTTTTATTCAAGCATGGTGATATTTAATTGCCACCTCTGTGGATCACCAGTTTGTAAATGTAAGAAGAGAGACAATTCCCCATAAGCTCTCCTCATTTAGAGCAACGTAGTCGTTTCCAGGGAATAACACAGCCTAAACCATCTTTTCCTTTTTACTACATCAGATTCTAACTCATTATTGTACGATGACGGCAGTAAATTTTATAAACATCAAGAGGACGGGGATTGCTGGATGAGAGGAAGGGATGGTTTAGTTTTATTTGCTCTACTGCCATATCGTGGTGACTAGCAATACAAGTTAAATAAATACCAAGAAGGAATCAATCTTCCTGGCTGGCTCTGTGCCACGGTGGTAAAAAGGGAAGGACGTAGTACCCCAACTTCCACTTGAGGGACCAACAACCACATGTAGCCTTCAGGCCACTGAATTAACTGAGTTTGGTGGTATCTAGAATTGTGAGGTGCAATTAATCAGAATTAGCAATTTCGACACATTTAGCAACTGCTCCACAGATAAACTAAAGGAGAGACCAAAGCAACCTTGCTTGTGCCAAGCAGCTGTAGCTGCAAGAATCAGCAACATAGAAACCTTCACCTGGAGAAAGTTAAACACGTTTCCTACTTCTTCATTATATGCACACAAGTGAGAATCTTTTTAGTTTTTCCTTCTGTATTTTCATTTCTTGACAGAACAACAGCGCAGAGCACGGGAGTGCAAAATGAGGGACAGCACTGCCATTGCAGAGCTCCCGTGAGAGAAACACGGGAATAGAGGAGCAGTGGCTCCCGTGACAGAAAGTTTCAGGAGTTTTACTGCCTTATTTACATCCTTTCCAAAAAGAAGTTATAAAACCTGCTTTAAAGTAGTATAAAATTAATAAAGGCATTCAGCTGTTACTTTAGATTTGCCATGGACATACAAAACCAATTGGTCCCTCATTGAGAATTAGTCTGTTTGTACCGCTGAGGAGGTAAAGTCAGCGATATGAAATTTGCCAGATAAAATGTGATGGATTTTAACTGTTCTGATGCATTTTTAATGTTCTTCTCATTGTAGTAGAGGGAATAATGTTCTGAAAGGAGAAGGGGTGGTGAGGCATCTTACAGCAGTTCTCACTTGCAGACTACGGCCACTTATGAAGGCCAGAAGAGACACTGGTCTGGCTCCGAGAGATATCCGACCTCACAGCATTACAGCTCTAAGGAGCCCTGAGGAACCCTCCCTTCCACCTTTATCTGCAAAAAAACAAATAACGAGCAGCAGATAATTTGTGTGCATCTTTTGCATACAACTAGAATGAGTTTAGGCAAGAGAAATGAAAGTTTTATATTTTTATGTAGCACACATGCAAATCTAGACATATTTTTCCTGAAATTCCTACTGGATTGCATGCTTTCATGGGAAATTTCCTTATTTTCTATCTCAAATAATGGCTGCAAGTGTGTGTCTTATTCCACTGCTATCATTAATCTGCAACTAGAAATAAGCCAAACTTATCCCCCCAAAAAGCACAGAAAGTTTGAGGTTGGCTTTGAGGTTCCTTTGAAGAATGCAGTAAAGCAGTTTTTATTCTCCACAATCACTTTCTCACTGACACAAGTTCTCTTCTCTCTAGCACTGATAAAGGGTTTGAGCACAAGAATCCAAAAAGTACATTTCTCAATTAAAAATAAACAAAAAGCCCCCCTAGAACTAAACTATAAAGCTGAAAAACTCAAATTTCTTCAGATCCAAATCCCATCAAGCAAATTATTGTGCAGAGCAGCGTTTGCAGTGCCCGTTCTAAAGCTTTCCTACCCCGTGTTAACCCTCAAAGCTCTCATTGAATCCACACTGCACCTTGAGCCGTGCTGTTTCATGTCGCTATGTTTGAACTCCCAGCATATTTCAAAACCGGTCAGAGATAACGGACAAAATCAGTTTGATACATGAAGTAATAACATTTCCGTTGTTTTCTATCTGTCTGCCAGGTATTACAACCGTCCTGACAATGACCACCCTAAGTACAATTGCTCGTAAATCTCTTCCCAAAGTCTCCTATGTGACAGCAATGGATCTTTTTGTGTCAGTCTGCTTCATTTTTGTTTTCTCTGCACTGGTGGAATATGGGACTTTGCACTATTTTGTCAGCAACAGAAAGCCAAGCAAGGATAAAGACAAAAAGAAGAAAAATCCAGTATGTATCTTCTTACCAACAAGGTCTAACATTCAATTAGGTTTTCTGAGAGAGCATTTAAATCCCTCTTTATGCTTGTACTTTCTTTTCAGCCTTAGCTATTACATATATATACTCTTCCTTTGGATTAACAGGAATGCAAGCATTCACCTTGAGAATGAAGCACTCGTATATTACGGGTTGTCTTGATGCCAGACAAACTAATTTCTTAGAATAAGGCTCCTTCTAAGCAAAGTCTTCTGCAAATCACAGCTATTCCAAAACAAATTATTTATGCTGTAGGTAGAGCTCTTGCTGTGACCTTTACGGGAGAACTGCTGGTTTCTCTGTCTTAGATTTAGCAATATTCTCTGCCATTAACTTGTGTCTGTATTGTTGAGATAAATGTTTTTATTATTATCAGGACTGCAGTTAAACTTCTCTATTCAAACTGCAGCGTGCTTTTCCTAATGCTCCTTAAGCATCTGTTTCCTTTTCATTGTTTCCTTATCTTCTTTTTCTTGTATTTCTTATCTCCTTTATCTACTTCTTTCCCTTAGAAAGTGATTTGATGAGCAGTTTAGAATGTTATTTATGGATGCCTGCTACACAATAATAATAGTAAATGTATATGATAGCTATGACAAAAAAAATCCTGGAAATAGCCTTCCTAGGGGTTTGGGACCTTGCTCAGAGAGGAACAAGTTTGTTGCTTATTTTGTCCAGGACAGACTTGTCCTTGCCTTTGGCACCTGAGCTGAAAAGTCTGTTGTCTACAGGTGGAAAGGAGGAGTGTAAAATCCTAGAGGGAAAGGTAGCTTAAACAACTAAAAAAAATAAATAAACCAAACATGCCTGTGAAAAATGTGAAGAATGAGTGTTTTACATTAAGAGAGAGTATTTTCAAATCCATGTCAGGCATCTAGGAAGTCAAGAAGCCACTTGGATTTGCTCTGCTAAAATTCTCAAGGACTTTTGAAGGTATTCTCTTCCAGTTCTAACATAGAGTATATATATATAATGTACTCTGTAGTGGATAAACAGCCAGAAAAACACCTGTAAGACTAGAAAGGAAGAATTTTCACCTAACTTTAGGTACACTAAGGTTGAATTTGATCACACTCCTCTTGTGGTCAGAAGGGAGAGGCAGCTCTGGAGGGTGGTGTGTCCTGGCCTGTGCACATGTGTGTCCTTCAAGGTCAATTAAAGGAGCAAAGATTAACCACTTCAAATTTAGTTGTCTCACGTAAAGATCTCTATATAAGGGCAGATTACTCCTTCTTTACTTATCTGTGAGCATTTGGGGACAAGCAGAGCTAGAAATGATTGCCTGGATCCTAATCGCAAGTCTAAAAAACTCAGGAGTAAGAAAGAAGCTCAGGACCCAGCCTGGAGGTAAAAGGAATTTTTTCTGAAAAGTGCGTTTCTAAACTGTGAATGGTCTCCTCTTTCAAAGCAGCTCAACATAAAAGATGGGAATCCCTTGGGAATATGAAGAGGTCTCAGTGGAATTTGATATCTTCTGTCTTTGGCCCAGATGTAGTTACAAGATACAGCGACAAGTGAAAATGTGGGGGGTTGATATGACAAATAACTTGCTTAAACTGTTATTATCCCAACCTTTCTATAAATTTAGTTCTTTTTGACTTACTATGTTTTAGAAACATATTTTTAATTTACATTATTTTTGTCTCTTTCTTTCTTTCCTTTCCTTCTTTAATTTAAACCAAAACCCTCTGACTCTCTTTTCTGTCTACAAAATGAAAGCTTCTTCGGATGTTTTCCTTCAAGGTATAATGCTTTTTGGAATGGAAATTCACTGCATGCGACTGCTGAATTTAACTATTAGAGCTTCTATGAGAGTGGTGGTTGTTGTTTGTTTTTTTTAATGAAACATCTAAGCATTCTACTCAAGATAATTCCTCATTAAGTAGAATGGTTACCTATTTCTAAATAGTTGGTAGAGTTGATTCAGCAGCCCAAATACTGATTCACTGTGGTTCTGAACTTACCTAAGTTCACGAGTGACCAACACGATTGGATCTCATGAATGAAGAGAGTTTAATGTTCAAACGTTTCTGCTTCTCTCTTTCCCAATTTGCCATGGGATCCAATAGCACCAGCCACGCCAGAAACCTGCAATGCACCCTTTTAGAACTCAGCTCTGACCCTTGTGGTTTCACTCCAGATTAGAAAACCAAATCCGTTCTGATGTTGACCTGAACAAAATTCTACGTCACCATCAATTACTGCTCCTGATGCCAAAAAGTCAAGAGTTTTGAAAGGGTGTAAGATGCAAATGTATTTTAATGCTGTCACTGGATCAACACACTCTTAGCAAATATATCTACCTATGTTCCACATCTAAGCCTTATCTTCATTCAGAAATGCAGAGATTTTGACAAAAAAACCACCAACCCCAAAATAAACAAAATAAAGAGGGAAAACAAGAAACCACATAAAATAAAAGCCAAAAATTTTACATCCTTATGGAATGGAATTGTTGCTATTTTATCCTAATAACTACTAGCAGGAAATTTCAATGCCTGTCATCCTAGTGTTTGCCAAGGGCTCAAATATGTTTTAAATGCTTAATTTGCTTCATTCAGTCCAAATATTTCTGTGTATATACATATATATACACACACACACACATGTACAGCTACTATATAAAATCTGGAACATATTTGAACCTTCTGGTTGGTGAACATTAGTAGACGGCGAACTGCACATCAACTGGAGAGATTCTCCTAACCTTATTCAAATGACCCAGTTTTTGCCTTTTCCCCCCCTGCATTTACTCCTGTATCAACACAAACCAACCCTATATTAAAATCCTGCATTTCCAATTGATTATTGCAGCTGCTTCAGTGTGCAGAACACAGATTGACTTAAGATACCGAGCAGCTATGTAAAATACTAATCACAAAATAAATTCAGAGCACCATTAGTTACAGTCCCGAATGTTTCCTGTAACCCTAGTGTTGACTTAGCTTGGCATAACAGCTAACTGTCCACAGCTGGTAACTTTATATTGACCTGTGCTGCTTTCATGTAAAGTTAAAGCGCACGATGCACCCGATTTCACTAAGTTCAAGGTAATATTTTCATTAGAACTCCCAGTTTCCCATGTGCCCACGCAGAACCATCATGCCCATGCTGACCGTTAGTCTCTGTGTCCCTGTGCTCTGGTGATAATAACGGCGTCTCTCCCTCCTGCCATCTCTTTCTTTTCTTGCTACTCCACCGTAGGCACCCACGATTGACATCCGGCCTCGATCAGCTACAATTCAAATGAACAATGCCACACACCTCCAAGAAAGGGATGAAGAATATGGCTACGAGTGTCTCGATGGCAAGGACTGTGCCAGTTTTTTTTGCTGCTTTGAGGATTGTCGAACGGGAGCGTGGAGGCACGGAAGAATACACATCCGCATTGCCAAAATGGACTCCTACGCCCGCATCTTCTTCCCAACTGCCTTCTGTTTGTTTAACCTGGTGTATTGGGTATCATATCTTTACCTTTAAAAGCAGAAGGAAAGTGGTGATATGAGCCTTACTCACTGAATTTCTTAGAGAGATGGTTTCCTAACTCCACTTGAAGTATTTACAACGCGCTTTATAGTGGTCTGAATTCTTTAGTGCCATAACCCCGTAAATATCAGCCACGTCATTTGTCCAAAAGATTATTACCGTGAATTCAATGTCCATTCAACATGCCGAAATAATTTGACATAAAAAGAATATAAAGAGGTAATATACAGCTATACTTGCCGGAAAAGAGAGAAACAGAGCAGACAGGGCAAGGGGAGCATGGCAACATCACCTCATAGCTGGTACTGCTGTTTCAAACAGGAGCGACAGAGAGGAGAATCCCAGGTAAAGTGCTGTACAGTTTGTTAACATTGGCTATAATTATGCTATAGCTTTATTCTCTGTGGGCTTTTCTTTTTGGAAGAGTCATCTCTCACTTTGAATAGGTATTATTACGCTAGGAAAGTAACTTCTACTCCCACACAGATAAAAATAGACCTTTCCCTTTGCCATCCCTTTAAGAGCACATGTACAATGCTGTAAATATTTCAATACCTTGTAGTACATAAAGTCTAGTGCATGCATCTTTTGGGGGCCAAAATAAATAAAACAAAGGTACCATAAAGTATTGTCTTTTATTTTGTGTCTCTGGATGTGCTATTGTAATTGAAATGTGGACATAAATACTTTTTTTTCCTGGAAAAATTACCCCTTCCCCTCGTGCATGGAAGATCCAAGCAGACAGCACTTTCATGTAACACATTAGAGAAGCCTTAAGGATTCAAATAAATAACATGTAGACAAATCTGTATGGCCAATATAATAGCTCATAAAGTGTACTGTATGTGTCTGCTGCAGTTGTAGCCTTCATTTTCCATTGGTAATGTTGCTATATCTCAACTGAATTTCCAGTAATTATTCATTGCAAGATCAGCTTCCAAATTTAACCCATGTGCTTCTGTTGTTCTTTGCTCACGTTAAGCTCTACTTCTTTTCCTTACACAAGTGTTTGTGACTTTTCTTTTCTAATTCTTCAACCAGTCCAGAAAATAGCTTTTAGCCCAGACATTATTTTTTACATAAGAGCTTCGAGTTCATTCGGAAACATTTGATTTTGAACTATATATACACATCCAACTCTCTGCCCATCCACGTCCTTGACCAGCAATAGTCGTTGTCAGTGCTGCTTTTCACTCCATGAGTACCTTTACTAAAACAAACCTTTCCCATGGCTAGCACACACTTTAGAGATAGCCTTGAACAAACAAACCCACAAAGGGAACAAAGGATGTCTTGGCTACAAAACCACACGTATGCAGTTGCTGTGTATTTCCAAACCTTCGACCCACCTGGGTGAATCTTGAAACCCATTTATCCGCCGGTTTTCAGAACCTGTACGATGCTCAATTATGCAACCTTAAGCACATGTAAATACGACTGACTTTTGTTTTTTTTTAATTTTCAAAGATGTAAAATGTCACCTCCAGGAAAGCAGGCTTGCAGATTGAGAAGGGAGATCTATTACTTATCATTGCAGAATTATTAATAGCTAAAAATGGAGGGAAAAAAGAGGAAGTTTTCCAATGTTGTATAGTTTTGGAAATAAAAATGTATAAAAAAAGGAATAACTCTTGATCATCAATTGCACCTTGTCCAATGTATTTGAAAACATTTTAATAAAGGAATTGCACACACCCGTGGACTTTTTCAATAAAACTGCTGCACTCAATCCCGCTTTTCTTGTGATTAGTTTGTTAAAAGCATGCTTCAAGGACAATACTGCTTGACTAGGGTTGATTCATCAGCTGCCTAAATAGGAGCGATTATAATCCTCATAACCCCCTGCCTTGTCTCATTTTGTGGCCAATCGACTCACCCACAACTTTCAAAGCTGGAGACTAAATGTTTTAAACCTTTCTGAAGTTTATCTTATTCTTTAAAAAAATAAATCACTGAATTGGAAGTGTCCTGAGAAAGAGAGAGAACCTTTCTTTACCTACTTAAAGTAGAAAGCATCTCCATTCCCTGAATGAGTGTCCATCAGCTTTCACAAGGAAATCTGGTTTAGCTGGTGCCAGACACAGATCGCTAATTATTTTTATTTCTTTTTTTGCAGTGGTCAGTGATTTTACAGCTTTTTGTTAGTTAAATGGTTAATAAGAATGGCTGATGTTATACATTTATTTTAACTTTTCTCTAGATCTTTTCCCTGCTACCAAATAGGTTTTATACAGCTCAGTATGAATCCCAGCCCAAACCAGCCTTGTAATTCCCTCAGTCCAAGTGCATTTCAGTTAACATAGGTAGATTTGTTTTGTCAAGGTCTGTGAAATTAAGGATTCAGTGACTAAGTACTTTACCCTAGCTGAGCCATCAGATTACACATCCCTCTTGAAAGCCTGCAACACTGAAGAATTGGATGCAATAATTAGGATTAAATTATCAGATCCCTCACTTGTGCAAGCTCACCTTCTCCTGCCAGCAAAGGAGTTTAGTTAAAGATTGATATTCCCTCATCTCAATCATGAGAAAAGGACATCAAAGCATAACCTAGTGCTAACTAAACAAAAAGTAGAGCGTTCCTCTAAATACAGACCAGATTAGTTATTCAGCAGAGAATTAAATTATGAATTTCGTATTGTAAAGCCAAGCTGCCACCACAGCATACACAAGAGCAAGAAAATAGAATTTGAGTAAAAAACTGCTCAGAAACCTATCTGTATAGTCATTCACACACACATATTACATGAAAGTTAGTATGAGCACAAGAAGAACGGTGAAAATACAACAGAGCCATCTAAATGAAACTTAGTTACAGCCCAGGGGAAAAAGTGACATTTTAAAACACAAGTGTTGTCTTTCAAACAAAATTTCACTTGCTTTGCGAAGAGAATTTAATTACATCTTATGAAAAGCTTCACAGGTAAATTAGTTTGTCATACCCATGAGAGACCTATTTTTCAATTTATAAAAATCAGAAGCCAATGGCCTTTCCTTATTTAGATGGTTCTTGTAAATGAAAAGATACAGACTTCCTACTTCCACATTACAGCTTTCCTTTTTAATGTCAAGATTTACAATGGAAAACATAGCTGGTGAATATGTAAAGGAAAGTTCATGACCTTTAAAAGATCTTGAATAACAGACTTGAACTAAAAGCTTTGCTTACAACTCAGCAAACCCATCTGAATAATTCATTCCAGAATGCTGAATTAGTTCTGAAAACATAAAAAATGTTGCCTTTCTTCTAGGGGAAAAAAAAGCACTGTATGATAAGACTGAATAAGATCTTTTCCTTTGGACTCTCATAAAATTCATGTTGATTATCAAAGTGAAAATAAGGAAAAATAAGAAATTATTAAAAATTTACATAACTTTAATTCAACCAGTCTGAAAATCTCAGAAATCATTATCTTTTCACTATGCTTTCTGAAACTGCCATTAGTTCCTTCAAACCCCAAGTAACCTTTCATGAGCAGCTTTTGGCTGCCCACCCTGGTTCCAGTAGCTTTGGATTTTACAGATTTTTAGGAGTCTTCGCTGGTTAATTTGGAAAGATATACAGGAGCTGGGCCCTGGATGGCCCCTGGGCCACCTCTCAGTGTCAGAGAATCACAGGTCCAGACTATACAAGAATGAGAGAAGATCATTTACTAAACGTTATAGCATTTGAATCAAAACAAAACATTTGTTCTTCAGCTCAAACACTTGGGATACGGAAGAAATACCAGGCCTAAAGAATAAAAACATAATTTAGTTATAAAAGTGGTTTTCTCCCTTTTTTTCCCATACAGATAATTTTGAAAAAATACCCCAGCAAAACGAAAAAAAAATAGGTATTAAAACAAACTACAGAGAATATCAAGTACACCACCAATTTTGATTTGTCAGAACAATTTGTTTACTTTTAAATTTCCTGCAGAAACATCCTAAGTTAGACTTTGCTACAAAGGTGATGAAGCAATAATGAGCACGAGCGTCTATTTGTTCTCTTCCCTCTAGGTCCCATGGAGCGTTTGAACAGACAGGTCCAAATCATCCAAACAGTCATTTATCTGAGAGAACACTACATGGGGAAACACACTAGCTCAAATCCCAAACCTATCCAAAATCTGTACAGTAGAAAGCAGCACTGTGTCCAGGAAACCACCCTGCAAACTCCTAATGCTCATGGAGAGATTTGTTTCAAACGACTCTGGATGATCTGCCACAGCTGATCAGAACTTGCTCTATTTGAAGAGTCACCTCGTTCCAGTACATTAGTCTGTTTGAATAAAATAACATTTTTTAGGCATTGGAAGTCTTTTCTGTCCTTTGTAGCACTCACTTGAAAGAAAACGTAGGGCAGTTCCTCCTTCCAGCCATCGCTGACCTCATACCCGAACGCTTGTGTGCAAAGAGACAAACGCAAGTCCCAAATATATCCAAGAGTAGGACTGCCCTGAACTCTCAACAAATTTGTGAGATTCTTTCAACCAACATCATAGCTTTCTTCCAAAATCTTCTAAAAAGCCTTCTCACCTGACCATGAAGGAATCTCACACGCCCGTGGAAAAATGATTCTCATCAAGTGCGCTGCATGATAACCAGGAGAATTAATGATTTGGTGTTATTGGCTAGTAATGGTTATTTGTGAACTGATGTTGGTTTCTACATGTAATTTTAAGAATTGTAATTTTTTATTAGTTACTCTATACTACTCTTGTTTCGCTTTTGTGTGCTCCTTTTAGTGATGGTATCAGTTGGGACCAGAACTTGCCAAAGTGCAAGATGGCAGCATACATCATGTCTGTAACTGTATATTTTGGAGCTAACGGGAAGTGAATTAAAATAGAGGATGCCCACCTAGTAAAATTTAGGTAGTTCCCTCTGCTCAAGATCTCTGAAATTCAAGAGTCATTTGATCCCCCTTTTCATGAGTTTTTGACCTTTACAAGGAATTTAAGGATAAAACACTGATCTTTCTGAGAAGTCTTGACATTCATCCCACGTCTGAAATAAGATACTCTATGGTAAAATTTCCTGGTGGATGAGCTGGGTACAAGTTTATTGGGTGAGCATACAATTTAGCCTCCAGAATTTATTTTTCCTACCTTTACAAAGAGGAACAACCAATAATGCTGAGCAGTTAATGCGGACGCACGGGCTTTGTTTATGTAAATAGGTTGACGTTCATATCCCATGCACATTTGAGATAATTGTAAAAATTCTTCTGAGGATTTAGCCAAATAAACACTAAGTGTTATGTTATTGCTTTTCCTGCCTTCCCTCTCACTCTCCCTGCCACAGGAGGAGCTACCCCTCAGTGCGCTTGAATTCATACGAGGTGCAAAGCAAGAGTTAAATGCGAGAAGATTCTCCTTTTCAAAGATGCCCTTATTTTAGTGGGGAAAAATGCATAGAACTGAAAAGTGGTATTTGGGGAACTTCTACATTAGAAAAACTTTAAATTAATGCTGCCATCAAGTTTTCTAGGTAAGGAAAAAAGTATTGGCAGCCTAGTTCCTGCTCTTTATTTGTCTTACTTAAAATCTTAGAAGATTAAGACAAGTGATTTAGAAAACTAATCTTGGTAGACTAAGACCATCATGAATAACCCCATGGAAGAAC